TTAGTATATAAGGATTATACATAAGATTAAATCAATATTTAACAAATACAATTTTTTCAATGAGTAAGTTAAGAACATATGTGTACTGATCAATTTAAGATTATCTTTTTTACGAAACGACTTAACTTTGTAGAGAAAAATTTTCTTGTTACAGCTGTTCTGTTAAATATTGATGCTTGAACATTGCTATTGATATGACACGCAATGGGATATATCAGAACTATAAAAGAAAATCTGTTTTGTATCTACTTTGCTGTCAAGAAAATTTTCTAGTCGCAGTTTTTCAGATGAGTATCGAAGTTTGTCCATTTATATTTCGATAATAAGTGCAGTGGAGATTATTCGGCAATTCAACCTTATGTGAAACCGCTTCGTGTTGTAGGAATGATTTATTTGTTGCAGTTATCCAGTTGAGTTTCAATCCTTAACCATTGGTGTTTCATTTTGCAGCGCGGAGAGCTGTTATAATTAATAAATATTTCCTTAGTCTTATAATTGTAATTCATTTGTTATTTTTAACTTAATGCTTTCATTTCCAAAAAAAAAATTTATTTCTATACAACAGCAATCTGAACTAAAATACAATTTCGATCAATTTGTTTCAAATACTGTTTTTTATTTAATAATTCTGTTTGTTTAAATTTATTTAATTATATTGTGTTTATTTTAAACATAATAATGAACATATATATCAATCAATCATTTAAATTGTTTATGTAAAATTGTTGCAAACATTATTTATTATATTTCGTTTTTTATACTTTGTTGTTATGCAAAAAGAAAAAGCACAAATACAAATACAAACTAACTTTAACAGGAAGCTTGAAAATTTACATATATGTATATAATAAAAGCAAACAACAATAATGCAAAATATATAGCATATAGGTAGTAATATTTTTAGTAATGAAAAATCTGCATATTTATATATTTGTGTATAATATTAATGTGTAATGAACTGAAAGCGTACAAAAAGAAATTAGAAATACGGCAAACGATCTTAAAGTAATTCCACTGTTTTTATATCATTTTATAAAATGTTAATTAATAAATATCCAACGTTTTTTTTTTTATTTTGTTTTTGTTTAAATTTAAAAATAAAATTATATTTACTAATTAATTAAAAAAGAAACCACCATTATATTTAAAAGTACCAAGACAAACACTAGTGCGAACTCATTTAGAGCTGACGAAAAAGAAATAACAATTATTTAAGAGCAAAATCCCCCTTTTGCTGCTCCTTTAATCCAACAAACTAAACAATTTATAAATGTGCAATTCATATGGAAACTAGCACGTTACACTTTATACAGTGAAATTATTTTAAATATTTAATATATACACAATTTCAGTGCTACAAAATGTAATGATGCTGAGTGCAAGTCTACATAAGAAGTGCACATTTTTGTTTACAATACTTGGTTTTTTTTTTTTTGAATAACAGTTGAATTACATTTGCGGTATTTCAAACTTGGCAGATTGCACTTTACAAACTTTTTACAAAAATTAAATCAAACTATTATTTTAAATAAAT